TGGAAGACTTCTCAGCAAAGCAGGAAAGTTCAAACTGTCCATCTGCATCAGCAGTCTCTCAGTCATTTTTCTGTGTCCTGCAGAAAGTCTCGTAGACTCTTCCATGAAGCAGGAACCCTGTAAGACTTAGTTCAGCAGTCACTTTTCTGTGGGTCCTGCATGTCCAGATTATACAGCAACAGTCAAGCAGTACAGGCAAAAGCAGTTTCTTGCCCAAATGGCTAATCTTGCCATGTTGAAAGCAAACTCCATAACAAGTTTCTTTGATGCCCATCTTCCTCTCAGACATAATTGGTGCTGCCAGGAGCAGACATTTCTCATTGTCAAGAAAAACCCTAACCCATTTTAAATGCCATTTTCTGAAGGTCTTTGAGAGGTTTGAAGACTGTTTATCTATCTCAAATTATATTTCTGTATATCTAGAAAATCTAACTTACCTAACTATAAATTCTATTATAAGTAACTATCTATAGTCTGTATTCAATTATGCATTACGTTTTAAAAGATCAGTATAAGCACAATACTTAATCAAGAGGAGAAATATACACATCACAAAATTGACCTTGAATTTGTATCAATAAATGAAAAACAATACCCATACCATAATTCCCCTTTTTTGCCATTAAAAAGAGATTGGCTGTGATCATTAGCCAATTATAAACAATCCCATTTAAATGAAAACAAAGATTTATAAACAAGATAGGAATTAGGCCGTCTCTCTTCCAAACTGCTTCGTGCTGGAAGGGGGCGCTGTTCATAACATGGGGATCATGGCAAAACTCAGAAACCTGTATAAGTCCTTATTTTCAAGGTCTGTAAAGCTCCATCATCTTAGCTGTTTCAGTTGTTGGAATGCCTGGTCCACTGCTTCCGGGGGGTCTTGGTTCGTCAAACCACAGAAGCCTGGAAGGAATCCTCAGCTTTTCATTTTCTGTAGAAACATAAATAAAAACTGCTTTCCCAAGTAACATATCCTTATACTTAAATTTTGAGGTCAAGGCATTTTCAAAAGATATAAGTTGAATTAATTCAGCAGCATTTATAATCAAGTGTACTTTAGCAGTTGTTCCTTCCTGAGCAATCAAAAAACTGAAAAACACAATAGCGTACAGTATCCAGACTCTCTGTGTATTTTCCATCTTTACGTGGCTTATTTATCTATTATTACTTTATTTATTTTACTTTTATTTATTTTCCTCTGAGACAGGGTTTCTCTTTGGAAATCTGCCTGCCTCTGCCTTTGGAGTAAATCCTACCGGCGTGTGCCACCACAACGCCGGCTTTTCTATTTATTTACCACTTTGCCATTTCATTTTTCTCTCTCAATCTCACGTATATTTTTAAACACACTGTAAACCTTTAGAGGTTTTGTTCATTTGTAAAACCACGGCTGTTTTACACTGACTTTTTTTTCAAGATGGCGGGTGTAAGCTTGATTCCAGCTGTCTCAGTCTGACATCCAGCAAAAGCTGCCAGCTCAGAGATGTGGTCACTGCCACTTCCAGCTGTACGTATAACTTTTCAATTGTTAGCAGAGTCTCTTAAAAGAACCTTGCTGGTTTGGTTTTGTTTTGTTTTTTTTAATGCAGAGTCAGGAAGACTCCCATAAGTGAGGCTTGTCGCTAGCAAAACAGAGCCCACCTGAGAAAAATGCTGCTACCAAGCACAGGACTTCCCCCAACATATTGTAAAGGGTGGTGTTTCTCTAATTTCTTTTTCAGCCCGTTTAGTGTGTGTGTGTGTGTGTGTGTGTGTGTATTATATTATATCTTAGGGCTACTTATTTTTTTTAGTTAATCTTGTATCCTGCCACTTTTCTGAAGTGTTTATCAGCTGTAGGAGTCCCCTAGTAGAAATCTTCGGATCACTTGTGTAAACTATCATATCATCTGCAAATAGTGAAAGTTTTACTTCTTCCTTTCCAGTTTGTATCCCCTTGATTTCCTTTTGTTGTCTTATTGATCTAGGAAGAACTTCAAGTACAATGTTGAAGAGATATGGAGAGAGTGGACAACCCTGTTCCTGATTTTAGAGGAATCATGTTGAGTTTCTCTCCATTTGGTTTGATGTTGACTGTCTGCTGTATATTGCCTTTATTATGTTTAGGCATGTTCCTGTTACCCCTGATCACTCCAAGACCTTTATCATGAAGGGGTGTTGGATTTTGTCAAAGGCTTTTTCAGCATCTACTGAGATGATCATGTGGTTTTTCTTTTTCGGATTGTTTATGTGGTAGATTACATTGATGGATTTTCATATGTTGAACCATCCCTGCATCCCTGGAATGTAGCCTACTTGATCATGGTGTATGATTTTTCTGATGTATTTTTGGATTCAATTTACCAGTATTTTACTGAGTATTTTTGCATCAATGTTCATGAGGGAGATTGGTCTGTGGTTCTCTATCTTAGTTGTGTCTTTATGTGGTTTGGTAATTACCAAGGTAATTATAGCCTCGTAAAAGGAGTTTGGCAATGACCCTTTTTCTTCTATTGTGTGGAATACTTTGAGCAGAATTGATATTAGCTGTTCTTTGAATTTCTGGTAGAATTCTCTTCTGAAACCATCAGGCCCTGGGCTTTTTTTGGTTGGGAGACTTTTGATGACTGCTTCTATTCCATTAGGGGTTATAGGTCTATCTAAATTGCTTATCTGTTCTTGATTTAATTTTGGTAAGGATATCTATACAGAAAATTGTCCATTTCCTTTAGATTTTTGAATTTTGTGGAGTACAGGTTTTCAAAGTATGACCTGATGATTCTTCTGGATTTCCTTAGTGTCTGTTTTTATGTACCTTTTTCATTTCTGATTTTGTTGATTTGCATGTTCTCTCTCTGCTTTTTGGATAAAGTTTTGGCTATCTTGTTGATTTTCTTAAAGAACCAACTCTTTGTTTCATTGTTTCTTTGTTTCTACTTTATTGATTTCACCTTTCACTTCTTTACCATCCCTTTTTTTTTGGTTTTTATTTTTTATTTACTTATTTATCTATTTATTTTTGGTTTTTCAAGACAGGATTTTCTATGGCTTTGGAGCCTGTCCTGGAGCTTGTTCTGTAGACCAGGCTGGCTTCAAACTTACAGAGATTCTCCTGTCTCTGCCTCCTGAGTGCTGGGATTAAAGGTGTGTACCACCAATGCCTGGCTACCATCCCATCCCATTTGTGTGCAAAAGGAAACCCGCCTCCAATTTATAATGTTGGCATCTATTCTGCACTGTTGAATGACCTAAGAGAAAAACACAGTTTCTCTTGCTTTATTTTCTGAAGCTTACCCATGTCAACTCATTATTCTTACCCTATAAATGACTTACTTCGTCCAGTGTAATGAAGGTAATTCCAGCACTTGAGATAGAGGTGGAAAGATAAAGAGATAAAGATCATCCTTTGCTACATAGTAACTTGGAAGCTAGCTTGGTTAGCTAGGTGAAACCCTCTCTTTAAAAAACAAAACAAGCTTAGTGTATAGACCCTTATTGTTGGTGTACCCAGCCAATGTTGTGTAAACAAATATAATAAACTCCCTTTTATTGTTTTTAGAAGGACTAATTTTAATATACAGAAAAGGCAAATGTGTTTTTCTCTAAACCACTGAGTAGTAATAACCATTCCCCCCCCTAAACCAAGGAATCTCCCCTCTTATATTAATGGATTGGGAAATCCTGTAAAATGGTGACTAATTGAGTAGTTTAACCATGGTGACCTTTGAGTGTAAAGTTTTTAGTTTTTACTTATCAAAAAAGGAATGCCACCGAGTATGATCAAGTGTTTTGATTCAGTAAAAAGTACTCCGACCATGTAGCCAGACAAATTTAGGTTCAAGTACCTTCTTAATACCTATGGGCTGTGTTACTTTGGGTGGGTTACTTAATATCTGTCATCTATAATGTACACTTATGAAGGCCATATGTATTTTGTAGCATTGTCACCATTTAACAGAATTTTGAAATTAAAGAATTTTGCTATAACAATTGACATTTTTATATGAGGAGCACTGCATGCAAATGTAATACTATTCACTGCTATTCAAAACAAAGGAAGGTGTAAGAGATATCTCCCCTGTGGAGTGGAAGAAAGATAATTTCAATGAGCGCATTCCATAAACTCCTATTCACAAAGAAGGCTGCTTTGTGATGGCTTCGTAGGGGTCACCCTCAGGATCTGCACACTGACACCTTTCTAACATGATGCTCAGTGGTTACTGCTGATTCAGCAATAGGGCGTTGCTGTGTGCTTTCCCTTTGAGGAAGGCCCTGCGAAGTTAAGCTAGCCTTTGGTAAGAAAAGCAATGAAAATGGCTGGAAAGCTGGCTCGAGGGTTGTGTGAATAGATGAGTAGTCAATGTGTTTGGATTTGGTGCCTTCAGGATTTATTCTGTGATTCAATATGGGAGATTTTCATAAGACTAAATTGATTTTCAAAATGCCCCACATGTTTAATGAATGTCTGAGTTGTCTCTAAGCAACAGACTATCCTTGTCCAAACAGTCTTTTCCTCTTTCAGTTGCTAAGTATTCACATTTTACTGAGATTTGGTCTTGTCTGTTCTTGGAGAAAGTATTTCAAGTAAAAACCTTAGCTAATTTTCCAAAAGCATTGACATTCTTATCTTATTAGACACTGTGCTGGTGAATTTTTGTCAGCCCGACACAGACTTAGATCATCTGGGAAGAAGAAAACCCAACTGAGAAAAATTGCTGGTCATACTTACCTGTAGGGCATTTTCTTGAGTAATGACCGACGTGGGAGGACCCAGCCACTGTGGCCAGGGTTGTTTTCGCGAGCAGTCTGAGCAAGCCATAAGGAGCAGGTCAGTAAGCCATGTTCCTACATGGCCTCTGCTGCAGTTCCGGCTCCCAACTTCTTTCCCTTTTTTTTCCCTTTATGGTGGATTGTGCTTGGGATGTGTAAGCCAAATCACCCCTTTCAGTCATGGTGTTTATCACAGCAATAGAAAACATCCGGTGTATCTCATAAGTACTAATTCTGTTTTTCTTGCACAGATCCAGTGTCCCACTTGCCAATTCATCTGGTGTTTTAAGTGCCACGCTCCTTGGCATGAAGGTGTTAACTGCAAGGAGTACAAAAAAGGAGACAAATTATTGCGTCATTGGGCCAGCGAAATTGAGCACGGGCAGAGAAATGCCCAGAAGTGTCCAAAGTGCAAGGTGAGATAACCCGTAGCAGGAAAGGAAAATGACAACTGCATTTAACTGAGCAATATCCACAGTATGGAAGTGTGACATATTCATAATTACCTACTCAGGTGTGAACAAGGCTTTGCCGTTTCATTTTTCAAGACTAATGATATTGCATGTCAAACTGAACATGTGTGTGCATATAGTGTCTATTATCCTCATTAGCATTACAGTTCAAAACTTAAAAGAGCTATAATATTATTGGTCTAAAACACAGAAATCTTATTTTTCACTTATAGGTTAGGATGCATGCATAAGTAGATGCTGTTATGAAGACAATAGAAAAGTTTATTTCACTTGCTGTACATAACTGCAGCAAGTACCATACCTGGTACCGACTGAGTCCCCTGTTCTCTGCGCTTCTCTTGCTGCTATTACCTGTCACTACTTTTCATTGCTTGTCATTACTTGATATTCCACTTTTGTCTTTTTTGTAAATCTATCAAGGACAAAGCTAAACTAATGTAATGTTGGTACTTACATGAGTCCTGTTTTTCCATTTCTCTCTTGACAACCATTCATGTTTTCAAGCGTTAGCATGCCTTCGAGCTGGGACCTAGATGATTAAAAACCAGCTTTGCAATAGTAAAGGAAGATTGTCCTCTAGAGACAAGCCATTTTAATTTGAAAATATGAGACTAGATGCTTCATGATAAGCAAGCATCTGTTGGAGTGTGACGTTTTTATTTTAAGATTTACTTTAGATTGTGTGTGTGTGTGTTTATACTTCTGCCATGTGTGGCTTCTATATTTGAACAAATTTACTTTGGACAACCATATTGATCCCAATAGGATAGTTTTGCAGTTGCTTTCTTGAGACCTAAAACTAGATAAATGGAACTTAAAATTACTAGAAAATAACTTAAAATTAATAACGGTGAGTCCAAAGTGTAGTAAAAGTATTTTATAAATTAATGTATTAGTGAGCCTGTAATATTTTGCTGTACCAAATTCACATTTTATTTTATTCATATAGAAAGCAAATAGTATAGTGTGAAATTTATGCTATATTCTTAGTGACCAGAAGAATTTTGTGAGGAAATCTCTTTCTTCGTTTTTCAGGCCTGGAATTCCTGGCCTCAAGTGATCCTCCTGCCTCAGCCTCCTCAGTAACTGAACCTATAGCAGCTTGACTTATTTCTTCAAAGTGGTCCATAGTGATTTGTGGTAAGGTATTCTTACTTTTCCCTGCCCTGCAGAGAAGACCCATCTTGGTTTCTGTCTGTGCTGCACCAATGGTTTCACCTTTCTCTCGACTACCCCTTCATTCTGAGGTATTTCTCAGTTCCACGCCCGATCTAGGCCGGTAGGAATCGAGGAGTGTTATTAACTCATTCTACTGAACACTTCCCAAAGAGTGCACTTCACATCTCTCTAAATAGCTGTAAAAACAATTTCCATTTAGTCTGGTTCTAAACGGTGCTCTCAATGAATGGCCACGCAACATTATGCAGTGAGGGATTTCTTAATGAAGAGAAGCAATACAGAAAAATCACACTTTTCTGACATCAATGCCCTAGCCTAACATTAAATGGAGGGTTGAAAGAAAAAGCAGCCAGTGTGTTTACGGAGGGCACTAACGAGGACACTAACAACTTCTTAGTCTCCCAAGTACAGATAAATAGCTAAGAGAAAGGGTGAGTGTTGTGACCCATTTAGAGTAAGGGTAAAGAGGCTTTCAAAGGAGAGAGCCATAGAACTGTTTACATGACTGCTTGAAACAACCATTTGCTGCTGCAATCCAAGTCCATAAAATGTAAGTTGGTGTAAGTTGTATTTTATGGCTTGTTTTGATTGCATTCTTTTTCTTCCAGGCATGACTTTCAAGCTCTAGATTTTTTGATCTTTTTTTCTGTTTTGGTCTTTGAAATTACTCCTCCTTCTCCTCCAGGGAAACATTTCTTCTAGTAGAAATTAAGAAAACAGATTCAGTGAGCTGGTATTTTGTACTCTCCAGACTTTTTTTCCCACAAATCATCCATTAAAATTTACAATGCAAAAAGGGAAGATGGAATTTTTCAAAACTTGAAGAATTTTACACACGGTGCTTCCAAGTGCACAATTGTCGGTTTACTTTCATGTAAATATTCTCAATATTTTTGACAAAATGTGTGTGAATTTTGTTTTGACCAAACTTATTTTTTTTTGCATTCTGTTATCATTGTGTTTTTAAGTTTATAGTATTAATAGTAACCTGTATTTTTAAATGTTTGTTTATGAGTTCATAAGGCTTGATGGAAATTTGGGGGAGTGGGAAAGCATTCACAAGCATCCACAGTACTACCACATTCACGGTTAATGCAGCCATTTCACCGTTATTATAGCCTGCGCCCTTCTTACATGACCTCTATAAAGGTTCTAAGGGTAATACCGTCACTGCTTAGTGTCATTTGTTTTTCCACTTAACCACTCAGACTTTTCTGATGATGCTAAATTGTTGGAAGCGTTTCTGTTAACTGTGTCATCTCTGCTTAAATATCCTTTCATTGTTGTTTACCTTGCTGCATCACAAATGTGACATGAGTAGTAAGTATCACAGATACATCTTTTTTTCCTATTGTGAACTGTTAACATGCCATTGTAAAGGCAGAGCTGGTGGGTGCAGGGTCACAGAGTTTTTCATATTTGGTGCATAATGTCAAAACTGCTTAATTCTAAAAGTGGTGAAGCAACTTACTTCCCCAGAAAACTCAGCAGACTTTCTGGTAAGCTTTTCCTATTCAGATTCCAAGTATATTGTTACTCACTTGCTAATTTAATGACTGTGAAGTATGTCCTTATATTTACATTTCCTCATTTGCTTATAGGCTGAATATAAATCCAGGTTCCTTTGAGTTCGTCATGAACCCTTAGATCTTCTGTTCGTATTGGGCCGTTTGAGTGGGCGAGGTTGGGGCAGACTTGTGTGCATCCACTTCTGTGAACTCTGTATTTCAAAATTTTAACTCCTTTTATGTAATGTTTTCTCTCTCTTTTTTAAAAAATTGATATGCACTTATTTTTAAAAGTTTATTTATCTGAAGATATTATTTTCTTTCTCTTTGGACATACATACAAGCACACACAAATACCATGCACACATACCTTTTACATACTTACATGTTTTCCATATGCATCTGCTTCTAAGCTTAAAACATCATTTATCATCCAGAAGTTTCATGTAAAAATTTAGTGTGTCTGTTTTCTTCCTTTCCTTTAGCCTCTCGATGTATCAATATTTTAATTTTTTAAATTTAATCCATCCATAGTTTATTTAGTGTTTATTATGAATTAGATACTTAATCTTGGCTCAATTGTGTTTATTAAATAATTCTGCCCTACCAATTAATTTGTAATTCTTACTAAGCAAATGTAAAATCATAATACCTAATACTGTCTTTACTGGAATCTCTATTCTTGTTGTTAAGTTGTTCAAAAAGTTCTATGACAAAACTGTTGAGTTCAAAATGATTATGCCTAAGTAAAATGCACCATTCAAGCAGCAGTAGAATGTGGCCGTCCCTTGTGTGAACTTGTGTCTTAGATAAAACGGCTTATCCCTCTCCATCACTTACCAATGGCTCTTCTCCCACAGTGAGATGCCTCTCTCAAGTGGAAAATACAGTTTCATACATGTATGGTACTATGAGAAAATTTGACTCATGTAAGCAAATCAAAATTAGTTTTTATAATTGAATTTTCGAACCAGCAAGATGACTCAGCAAGTAAAGGCACTTTCCAGTAAAACTGACCACCCAAGTTCATTCTCCAAAGACCACATGATAGAGGGAGAGATCCCACTCCTGCATATTGTGGTCCAGCCTCCTCAAATGTGTTATGGCATATAAGTAGACACGGTATGCATACATACATAACAAACACAAATGAACAAATAAAATATAATAAAAATATAATTGAAATTGACAGATGGTAAAAGTGAGTGATAAAACTCTTTACTATCATTTATGATCAAGATATTTACTCATAAGTGCAATTATTTTGTATTGAGGTAAACACAAAAAAACAATTCCTTAGATTATTTATGAATTATTTTTATGAAACTATAATAACACCTTGTTAAGAGCTATTTTGCTTAACCATTTTGATGAATCATGTCTTCTTATTAATTAATTAATGTATTTTGTGTATATATGAGTATTTTCATAAATTTATGTACATCAAATATAAGCAGGATCTCAGAGAGTTCAGAGAAGGCATCAGATAACTAGAACTAGAATTATAGACGGTTGTGTACCACAATGTGGGTGCTAGGAATCAAACCTGCATCCTCTTCAAGAGCAGCAAGTGTTCTTAACCACTGAGCCATCCTTTTAGCAGCATCATTCCCCCCCCTCCGTCCCCCTCTCCTTCCCTCCCTCCCTCTCTTTCTCCCTCCCTTCCTCTCCTTGTTTTTTTTTTTAGAGACCATATTCTCACCGTGTGGCTCCTGGCTGGACCTTGGTTGTAGACAGGGCATGTCTCAAAGTCACAGACATCTGCCTGCCTCTGCTTCTGAGTCTAGGTAAAGATGTGGGCCAGGCCCACTCCCATTCTTACTTTTGACTGCAGGGGTTTGTTCAATAAATTATGGCACAGCATTCTTATGAAAATGACTTTTCTGTTCATATAAGTTCTGATTCTGAAGAAAACATAAGCTTCTTTTGACAGATTTCCCTTCAACTTAATCACAACACAGCAAAACATAGTTCACAATGCTCTGACCTTTAAATTAAACACAAGAAATTAAATTTTATTGGGGACAAAAAAAACCTGTTCAAAAGTTCATCTTGACACTATACATGAGTGAGTTGAGATTTGCTATACTAAATAAAATAAAAGTGAGATGCTCCATTCTAATTAATAAAGGTGTCAGCAATATGAAACTAATTAAACACTACTGTTGTAAGAAGTTTCACAGCCACATGTATTTTAACCTTAAACCTCAGTCTAGTCAGTAGCTGATTAGGTTTTCACAAGGTATCTGACTCCCA